AGTTTATTGGCAATTGTGTATGTTTCTTGTAGTGCAAAGAAGTCATGTGTGCACACAGACACACTTGTAGTTAAGCCCCAGAATGTGCTGATACATAACGTTGCATCAGAGCTGTATGAAGATACTCTTCAGGTGTCAAAGTGATGCTGAGATCTGTCAGCTTAATCTCATGCTCAGTTTTGTGTAGTGGCCTTTAAAGCCCCAGATATTACCATCTGTGCACCATCTGCTAGGCAGCAGATAATTTGGTGTTCTGTAACTTTTAGGTTTTACACTTTAAAAACGTTTAGCCTTTACAGACATACCCTTAAAATGGGTGGGTGTCAGAGCAGGGGTCCCCAGTGTGGTGCCCATGAGTTCCATGGGGCTGGCCAACATCTTACCCGGTGCCCACCAAGTGTTTCCAGAAAGTGGATGAGAGTCTTGTGCAGATTCAAATAATGTTGCCACCGCTGTGTTGGTTTTTAATCTCTTACTCCTCTTTCCTAGTGTATTTTTAAAATTACTCCTCCTTTCCTGCACTTGGACTTTCTCTGAGTGGGGGGGTGGGGGGGTTGCTACATCTCTTGTGGCAGCCATTTTGTGGTTGCCTTCACCTCTTGTGGCAGTCATTTTGTGGTTGAGCCCACCATCCTGTTTCAGAATTCAAAAGGTGCCTACAGGCTCAGAAATGTTGGGGACCACTAAGTTAGAGGAATTCTTGGAAGCTACATGGGAGCAAACAGGACACTTTTGTTGTTGAAGGTGGCACAGTTCCTTGTTCTACCCCACAGGTTGTTGTCCTTATAAGGTTCCTTATTCTCAGTTTATATATCCAGTATTTTATGGATTAGCTGTAGAACCTAGCATTCGGTACCCAAAATAACCACAAAAGAATTTCTAACCCATTGTTGAGAAGATAGTCTTTGTAGGGTGGTAGGTCGTTGGTAACCAAGAAGGTTGGGGGGGGGAACTAAACTATACATAAAAACGATGTGGTTTTTACTATTTGTAATTTGATTAAAGCTTTTGGATTATAATTTTAGCTTTTTAAATTGACAGTGATAACTCTATACATAGTATTTTCTTTTTTTCCATTTCTTTTTGTTATCTCGTCTCTTGGAATTTTCTCCCCTCCTCTGTTTTTGTTTGCTTTTGCTATTTGCATTTGAGGAAAGTCTTTTAAAACATATAGCACTACCTCATAAAATCTCAGAAGCCTGGAAGGAAGTGTGTGGCCTGAGACGGTGTTCACTGGGTCTGTAGTATTCTGTTTATCTCCTTGTCTTTCCTCATGGTGAACTGTGTTGCATAAATTATGAAAAATAAAAAAATGTTCGGAAATCTTGCATATCTTATTCTGGCTGCAAAATTTGCACCATCCTTAGTTACAGACTAGACTTATTTCTAGCATAGAGCACACAGCACCCTTTCTGCCTTTTCAGTCTGGACTCCTTCAGTCTTCTCCCCAAACCTGCTGGACTAGATCAGGCTGTTGATCTGATCCAGCATTCTCTTATGTTAACCTTTGAAATCTTTTTCCATTAAAAACCCTTGTTTTTGCAGTGTGTTCTAAATATAGCATGCGTGTGTTATTGGTATAAAATAAAGTTACCTGATCACTAAACCTAGGGCTTCTGGGTGTGGAATAAATTGACGGTTTACTATACTGTGGATCACACAACTAAAGTAACGTAACAAACTTGCTCTACGGCTCTGTTTAGATATAACACAAAATTATGATTTTATGTTTACTGTGGTTAGTTTGTGAACACAATCAACTGTACCTCTGAACAAAGTATGGAAAGAAATCAGTGTTTTTCAGTTTCCACTTGGAAGAGTGGCTAGAAAAAGGAGAGTACTTTGGGCTAATTACTCTTGTGTTTCATGTTTCCTCTGAGGAGATCATGTCATTATACAGTGTCATTTCACCTCAACCTTTGAACAGCTGCAACCCCGTGAGAAAGTTCATGTTTAGCGATAGTGACTGTAGTTCAGGGTTACCCAGTGAACTTCAGGGCAGAGCAAGTATTTGATCCTAGCCCCAAGTCTGACTGCAGTGCTGTGTTGCACTACATCTTGCTATATCTGTATACCTATAGTGGTGGTTGTGGCAGCCCCAGGTTGGTTGGTTCAATTTGTGTGGCACTTCAGAAACCATAACATTGTTAATAGCAGTCTTAATTGTGTAGATATGGGAAATGAAAAGGTATCCTATCTGATTCTGAATCGGGCCTTATAAGGTAAATGAAAAAATCTACATAGTGAGGCTAGGGACACCAAAGGATTTTTTTACAAATGCTAGAGAACCCCCAGGTTTGCAGAATAATCTGAAAATTTAAAGGGGGGGGGCAGTTAACTCCTCCCCCAAAGTGACAACGGTGCTCCCTGAGATATTGGTGGCCTTGGGGGTTGCTAAGCAACCATAACCATATTGGTGAGCCCGCCAAGCCTTGTTTTCTGTCAGTTAAAGGCAGGTGGTTGGGGGAGATTAAAAAAGATGGGAAGGAAGAAGGGAAAGGAGAGAGGAGCTGCAGGTAGTGGGAGAGCAGAAAAGGGTAGGTGGGTGGGAGAGAAGATGGGGAGAGAGCAAGGGAAGGCTGAAGACTTGGGAGGCAGATAAAGACAGGGGTTGTTAGGAAGGAGAGAGAAAAGTAGAGGAGGGACGGAGGATATAGTGCAGGGAGAAGGTTATGCAGACAAATTAGATGCTCCCTGCAAGCCCTCATCGGTCTGCCACATGTACTAATGTGCTATATATTCCTCACATTCTTTTTACAGCTTGTTGTGGTGTCTTCCCATTTTAAAAAACAACAGCAACAACCCAAACCTAGATAATCAAGCATAAATAGTTTCCCTCAGACATCTTGAATGTTGGATTCTCTAAATATTCAAGTTTTTAAAGAAAGGAAAAAGTTGATAAACCTACAAATAGAACATTCCTGCATTTTCCAGAGTTACTGGTGCCTGTTTTTTTTTCCCCCCCCCCCCGGGATTCCCTATTGTAATGCATACCAGCAATTATGGAACTACTCCAAAAACACTGCTGTTAATGCATTTCTAAGCAAAATATTATCTTCTGTAAAACACTAGTCATTCAGTTAAACAAGGAGGACATGGGGAACCATGCCTTCTAATTTAGATCCACTCCAAATACACTTCTTCTAAACAGATCTTGAACTGGCATTGATATTCTTCACTTTTGGGGGTTTTGTTTTGCTCAAACCCAGATATGGCACGTAAAACAGAGCTGTGCATACGTGTTCTGTATTTCAAGGAATGAATTTGTGGAGAAGCTGTCATTGGACAATGATAGCTCAAAATATTTTGAATTGGTCGGGGCTTTTCTAATTCGTGCATTGGTGAGACAGCAGGCAGTTGCGTCTATCAGATGACCTGTGAGTGCCCTAGCAGGAAGTGGAAAGCCTTGCTAGTCAGCTGTGTAAAGTCCGTGCTTGCAGGAACCCTTGCAAGATGGATGCCAGAAGTGGTGAGTGTGTAGGGGTGTTCAGTTGTGTGCTGGGAACACTTTTCCCCCTTTCCTTTGCACTCATTCTGTGCTTCAGAATCCAGTTTACTGTGATCCTCTTCTCTTAATTCTGTGGGAGGTGGAAGAAGGATTTCAGGATAGGTGTAAAATTTTGTTTTGGTGCAGCAGCAGCTGCAATTGAAACTGCAACACTTTTTTGGAAGATATAATAGGAAGACTTACAGCTGTCATATCGAGACACTTGCTTTAAAAGCGAAGGAAAAAATTGTAACTGGATGAGCTGTGAACGTAAGGCACGATGCTAGCCCTGCTATTTTTAGAAATACCAAGTGACAGTTCTTGCTTGCTTACCAAATGTAGTTTGTGGTATTCACTTTAAAATAAAGCTAGAGCTATCTTACTTTATCTTTTTTTTGGTCAGGCAAAAATTGTTCATTCACACTTTAGCAACAAAAAACAACATTATTTCTAGTCAGATACTGCCTAGAATACCCTTTTTCATCTGTCTCTATTTGTGGATATTTTATGTGCATTTTAAAGTGAAGGGAAAAAGCTTCATCTTGAAAGCTGTTGAAATTCTGTTAAATAATAAATGTTCCATCTTGCTCAACATTATGTTAATTGAAAGATAGCTATCTTGTAACTGTTTACAGTGAAGCTAAAAGGAAAATCCCCCCCCCAGCAGTTAGTAGACACAACAAAATTGTCTTTTGGAGGATCTGAATTGTGTAGGGTGAGTGGGTGTCTGTATGGAAGCAAAATACAAAGTGTGAATAAAGTTCCGCTTCGGCGGAAAGGTGGGATAAAAGCTGAATAAATAAAAAAATAAAAAAGAAAGCTGCATGCATTTGATTAGGACTGCAGGTATTAATTAGTCCCCCTTCCCATGTGAACTGTGTGTTTGTGTGGAGTTGGCTCCCTCAGAGCTATTTCTCATGTTCTTTTCCCCCCTCACCATGTGCATATTCAATATGCATACATAATAGCATGGATCTTCTGTTCATGTGCCTTCCATGCACATGTAGTTATTGTACATTTCTAACCAAGCATGCACATTTTGAGGAAATTATACTGAAGGATCAGTTTTGTACTGGATCAATTTTTGGATATTGGGGAATTTTAATTGCACAATTACTTTGTGGCATTGCTTTTTAATTTATTTATTTATTTGTTCGACTTATACCCTGCCCTCCCCACCAAGCATTTGGGGGTACTGTTGTTGCTTTCTGTGTTCTGCTGAGTAGTAAAGACCAACTGTAATTGATATCACTGCTACAATACCTCTTTGAATAAAATTCTTGTTGAATTTGATAGCTCAAACATGTAACCCATTATTTTTGTCTGTCCACATGCACGTACATATGTGTATCTGTGTGTATAAGATATGAAGTGGGAGGGGGAACCCTCAAAAACGTGGTTTTAAAAACTTAGGACAACTTTAGTATTCTTGATGGAACAAGTCATGTGACATTGCTGTATCCTTGTACTAGTGACCATGCCCCCTGATCTCTCTTCCTTTAAATCTCTCCAGTTGTTGACCTCCTTTACTGGCGAGACATTAAGAAGACTGGTGTGGTGTTTGGCGCCAGCTTGTTCCTGCTGCTTTCTTTAACGGTATTCAGTATTGTGAGTGTGATTGCTTACATTGCCTTGGGCCTTCTGTTGGTGACCATCAGCTTTAGGATATACAAGGGAGTTATCCAAGCAATCCAGAAGTCTGATGACGGTCATCCATTTAGGTAAGTCTTTTCTCTTTACTGTAACTTCTGTTGCAGAGATGAAGGGTTGTGGTGGGCTTTTGGTTCTCTGTTTACTGTGTGGTTGGGTAAGCCACCTTCCAAAACATTCACCTTGAAGATTCACCTTGAAGATGACGCTTGGATCTCATCCCCAAATCTCTGCTGATAGAGGGATTTCCATCAGTGGTGTGTGCCTTTTCCACCTGCTCCCTCCTGCTTCCCCCCAAAATGCCCCCTAAAATTCTACTTCTGGGAAAGAAGAGACCCCAGAGAAAGCATGGAGGAAGAGTCTGGGGTTGACTGCAGGGGGAGGAAATTGGTGAAAACCGCCCCCTCCTTTATCAGCAGAGATAATAGCTGGGATCCAACCTATAGTAAGTTTTTCATAGTCCTTGTGTTTCTTTGTCACTGTTTTCTGAGTAATCAAATTTCTCATAGCCTAAGAGGAATCACTTGGAAGCAGAATATACAGCAGCCCTTTGTAAGTGAAAAGGGAGAGTGTGTGATGGTGTGACTGAGTAGCACTTATGTGGAAAGTTGTTGCTAAAATCAGCGCCTCCATGTGGGGCTGTGTATGAGTTGTAGCAACTTGCAGTTTGCACCTCCAGGACTGATACCTGTCCATGGCCCATCCTACTGCCCACCTGGAGGGCTCTGCATTTGTACTTGTATGTTTAGATTTTTCAGGCACCCATTTTTTCCAAGGAACTAGTTGAATAACTCTTATAGTTCATCTTAGACTAACCATGTAACCACAAATTTAAGTCTTTCCAGATTCCTCTTTTAGGTGCTGGGATGTAATTTGGAGAAAAGTAAATCTCTTGTCTGTTGAAAAATATATTAAATGTATTAATTTATCCAAATTTGCTATCAAAATGAGTGATGCTGGATTCCTTGGTTCCCCCCCCCCCCCCATTAAATCGTAAGCAGGCAATTTCAGAACTGTCAGTTGAATTTTTGCTTCTGACACCCAAAATTCTTAAGTTATGTTCAGGTCTCAGATTGGTGGATCTTAGTTCCTAGAATGTATGCTTTATAATTGTAATACTGAAGAAAAACAGTAAATGCTGATTTTCTGCCCTGCCTCTAACAACTCTAAGGCCAGTATACTCCAAGATTGGGTTGTATTTTGTTGCCGAGATGGAATGGCTTGCTTAAGCCTCTAGGTGAATTTAGGTAGGCCATTCTTTCCCAGTCATTCCT